ATCCCCCCCGCACTCACCCCCCTCTCCTCCTCCCGCAGGAGACCACAGCCTTGGCCACAAGACGGACGCCCACAAGAACAACTCGACCCACAGCGCCCACCGCCCCGCCCAGCACAAGCTCGAGGGCGCCCACAAGGCCGAGGCGCGCAAGGCCCTAGCGCACAGGAACGCCGGAGGGAACAAGGGCGCCAAGACCCCCGGGGGCGACGCCGGCAGCAACCACGACGCCAAGGACCTGCAGCTGCAACACATCACCGAGCACAACATCGAGAAGAAGCACGAGGATAAGGTGAGAATGCCGGTGGGGGGTGCCTGGGGGATGGATGGAGGTTGGCTGAGGATGTGGTGAGGACGCGGGCACTAGTTGAGGTTTCCCGGGTTATTTCTTATATCCTTCACCCCCCTCCCCCCCCTTCCAAATTTCTACTCCTTCAAACTCAACAACGCAAAGTCTTTAACCCTTTTGAAAAATCTACTTATTTCTCTAATCTTATCTATTTATTTCTATCTCTGACCCCTTTAAAAATTTCTCTTGGTCTCTTTCTCGCCCCTTTAAAAAAAATCTACTTGGGTCTCTCCCTAACCCTTTAAAATCTACTTAGGTCTCTCACAAACCTCTTTGGAAAAATCTGCTTGGGTCTGTCTGTCTGTCTGTCTGTCTTTCTTTCTGTCTCTCTCTCTCGCTCTCTTTCTCCTTCTTTCTTTCTTCCTTTCTTTCTTTCTCTCTTTCTTTCTCTCTTTCTCTTTCTTTCTTTCTTTCTCTTTCTCTCTCTCTCTCCCATTCAATTCGTTGATCTTCTATATCCATCTATTTCCGTCTTTCTGGCCTATGTCTAGTCTCTATCCTTACCCCCTTCCCTCCTCCTCTCTTTCTTTTACTCCTCTCTATCTCTGTCACCTTTTATCACCATCGTTCCCTTTTAACACGACTCGCCTCTCGCTCTTCTATTTTCACACTTTCCTCCCCCTTTTTCTTATTCTTTTCCAGTTTCCCCTTCTCTCCCCTTCGCCCCACCTCCTCGGCGTGCAAAGGGGCGAGGGGAGACTGACAGCCAAGTTATATGGACAATCTTCCCCTCTGTTTCTGGGATTCCGAGGGAGAAAGGAGGGAAAAGGAGAGAACATGAAAGAAGGAAAGAGAGAGAGAGAGAGTGAATAATTGATGGACCAAAAATGAGGGAAAGAGAGTGAAGGGGAAAAAAAGAAGAATTTAGCCGCAATGAGAGAAAAGAAAAGAGAGGGCGAAAGGAAGAGAGAAAAGGGAATAATTGATAGAGCAAAAATGAGGGAATCAAAGTAAAGGTAAGAAAGAATTAGGAGAAAGAAAGAGAAAAGAGGGAATTCCTAACGTAGTAAAAAGTGAAGGAAAGGAAAAAAAAAAAAAAAAAAAAAAAAAAAAAAAAAAAAAAGAGAGAGAGAGAGAGAGAAAGAGAAAAAAAGGGAATTAGTGATGCAGTAAAATTAAGGGAGTGAGAGGTGCATGGCTATTTGCGCTCCATGTTGCAGGTGCAATACGGTGAAATGCTATTCCCGCGGCATTCAGTTGGCCGGTTTGATGTTCCAAATGTAATACGCATCTTGGCTATTTACAAGTCCTCTCCCTCTCCCTCTCTATCTCTATCTCTATCTCTATCTCTATCTCTATCTCTATCTCTATCTCTATCTCTATCTCTATCTCTATCTCTATCTCTATCTCTATCTCTATCTCTATCTCTATCTCTATCTATCTCTATCTCTATCTCTATCTCTATCTTTTGCCATCGCTATCGCCATCGCTTCCCAACCCCTTTCCTCAACCCCATCCCCCACCCCCTTCCTCATCCACTCCCCCACCACTCTTCCTCAACCCC